CATCCCTTGAGTCTGATCTCCATATCGACTCCAAGTACGCCTTCATTTGTGTTGCTTTGGGTCGCTCCCCCACTTGATCTCGTAATGTATCCACTAATGCATTCTCTCAAGTGAGATCATGCGACAACTCCTCGCTGCTCGCTCGGTCCATTGAGCTTCGTGGAGTTATTTTTTTGAGGTACTCCTCCTCAACATATACGGTCTGTTGCACATGATTCTCCCTTTGGAGAGTCGGGACTTATCCCTCCTGGATATTTGTCCCGTTGGAGCAACTTCTCTCTTTGCTTCCATCTCTTTGAAAGTTTTGGAGATCACCATCCCCTTAGACTACTCTGCCTTGCTGAATAAACTATGCATTGTTATGCCTCCCGCAAATGCACTCGCTAGATTACGACTGTACGTCAATACAGTCCCCGCAGCACCACTCAAGGCCTAGCAACATGCTGAACTTACTGCACACTTCAGCCTTCTACAGACGTATCCTTCTCATGCTGAAGAGAAATTTTCAATACTCTATGGCGTCGAGTTTCGGTTGCCTAGGGATGGCCACAAACACTCCATCGTTCGCATACAAGCCTTTGTACGAGTACCGAATTCTTCGAGTTAGCAATTCCCATCACCTTTGTGAGCTTTGCATAATTCTTTCAGTCGTTGAACAACCCATTCCACCTTACATGGTCTCATCCTTTACCAAGTGTCTCGCTTGTCTTGAGCACCATTAAGTATGGTTGTCAACATTGAGCCACAACTCAAACTCAGTTATTCCAACCTTTGTGCGCTACGCATTCTTCCCAGCTTGCTTCTCCTCGTGGTGCCTCTTGTGCGAAGGGTTGGCCATTCCTATGAATGCCAATCTTAGATGTCCGCTCCTTTGAGCGACTCCTTTTCCCTATATCTCCATACCTGCTTTCCTCCAAACGGTCGCGCATGCTTGTTGTTCTCAATGTAGCCCCACTAAGTCCCTCACGTTTGCATGCCAAGTGTTTCTATGAGTGCTTATCCCACTCTGATACCATTTGTCACAAACTTAGCTGGTTTTGCTTAAGTCGTGCGGCACCCTTGCGTGTCCGTCTGCAAAGGTCAGCCTCCCCAAAACCTCCCATGGTCCCTTAGGATATACAAAAGAGAAAATAGGTTAGAGAAAGTGCCTCACTCGGGATCCACAAGTAAACATTTTCGAAAACACTTCATAGCCAATGCAAATTATAAACAGACTTTATAAGCTTTGAAGGGTTGCACAACAAAGGGTCAAAATGGACCACTACAGAGCGAATATCTCTTATAAGTGTCCACATAACACAACCTTTATTTACAAACCTAAAAGACCACCAAACCCAACTAAAATGAAATTGTTAAGCCTTCGACCGTTCCTCTACATGCTGTGCAAATCATGAACAAACCAAAAGACACGTACATACATAAGCATTACATTAAATATCCTGTTTAGAATTTTATCTATCACAGAATGTTGCCACCAAGGAAGTAAAGGAGAATAGAATCGACACGAGCCCTAGAACATGATGGTAGAGGCCATGTATGGGAGCTGTAATTTATCTTTCCCTCGACTAAGGAGAACTGCTCGGAGAACATAGAGGTATTGAAGTAGGTGGTCGAAAGGGACGAGAAAGTGATGACGAGTCTAAAGGGACTCAATTACTCAAAACTAAACATCGGTTAGAATAGAGGTGGACTTGGAGGTGTACTATAGTGTTGTAGAAGTGGATCTACCAATAACGTGGAAAGGGATGTTGATGTGAGAAGACGGAATAAGGCCATGGGCTTGGCAGTGCAATGGTATCTTATAATCAAGACTTCCATGGAGTTATTGATCCCTTACTCTCATAGAGGGAGAGCGCTTGGTTGTAAAAGGGGTTGAGAATATGGATAATATAAATACAAACTCTAAGTACTAAGACAAGGCTGAAGGGCAAAGGCTAGTAAACTTAATAAGACCATTGTCAATAGGTTTCTCATCAAAATAATTAAATCCTCACTAATGGTGATTGGTACTACTAAGAGTAAACTTTTTTACTTTATTTTCTAATAGAATGTCAATTAAAAGTGAAAGTGCTGTGAACATATTTGGAGGTGACAACTAGATAAAAGAGGAATCGATGGGCAAATTTTATGAAGGAAAGATCCTAAAAATTTCAAAGTTTGCAAGGCAATGCTCGTTAAAACTTTAACAGGCATCCACTCAATTCAAGTGGCATAAGACATTTGAGAGACTAGCGCATAACAAGAAATATTTTTTCTTTCATTTGAAGAATCCACAATTACCAATAAGGATCAACACAATTTAGTCGATCCCACACCAGAGTCATAATCATTGGTGAGTTGAAGCAGCATAGCGAACCAAAGGTCGACTACTCAACAACAACGACGGAAAGTAGTTGGGAGCCAAGAGGTACATTGCAATTAAAGCAGAATATTAAAAATTCAGTAAAGGCGAGCAGATGTAGCATCCCTAAAGGCTTCAATGAGGATGTCAAAGGAATAAGTGGGGGAGAATGTCACAGACAAAGTTGTAAATAAAGTATTTGATGTAATGCTCATGTATATCTATGTCTTTTAGTTTTTATTCATGCTTTACATAACATATAGAGGGCTTATAGTAGATTTGATAACCCCATTTTATTTGACTTTTGTGGTTATTTCATACTTGTAAATGCATGTTTGTGCAGTCATCACGTAGAGGCAAAATTACCTAGAAATAAATAATCCAGATAGCCATTTTTGAGATTTCCTAGTTTTGCAGAGTGATGTATAGCCATTTTGGAAGTTTTCTAGCTTCGTAGAATGGTGTAGAGTATTAGCCAGTATAGCACCTAGAAGCTACCCAGGTGGCACATGACTGGATGAGTCTTTGAGGTAGTGTCTAGGGTTGATTTGTTGCTCTATTCTATAGTAGTATCATGTGGTCACTTGTGGAGACTTTCGGTCATGACAGACCATCTTAGACCCTTTATCCTGTGATCATTCAGAGCTTGTGAAGTCTAATTTACATTATATATCAAATATTTATTGAAATAGCTGATCATGGATCTCGAGTTAAGTACTTTCTTTATTCCGTCTTCTTTTTTATAGATCATTAAGAGATCATAAGAAGTTTTGGAAGAGATTGACTCTTTACGAACGAATATACAAGAGTACGTTATGATTTAGACCAAATCAATTAAGCCCGTGATGTTTCTTCAGTTTTTACTGTAAATTTTTTTAAGCATGCAGGTTGCAATCATCTTTAGCTTGGTGTAGAATGTGTACAGAACACCAGTTGTCTTGTGAAAGTAGCAAAAACTTTTTTCCGCATGGACACACTTAGAACAATTTGGTTGCATACGTAGATACAGGCCATTTATTTAGTGGAACAATAAGATAAGAAAATGCTATTGATTGGACTTTAAATAATAGACATTTAGGGCTTCTATTTTTTTTTTTTTTGAAGGTATTGGCACAAAGACAGCATGATTGCACGTGTCTTTTTATAACCTTGATAGAAAGAAATAGCATTTCTTGGATGAAAAATAGGGCTGAGGGACATCCATGGATATATATACTATAATTGAGTATGTTTGAAAGATCAACTTTGAGGGGTGAATATGTAACACTTTTGTTGCTTCAGTGATATTTGTATAGTGGTTAGCGTCTCGCATAGTTTTTTTTTTTCGTTAGAAAGAAATAGTATTGTTCATTTTTTTATTTTCTAAAGACGATATTACTATTAGTTTTCGTTTCGTCTTTGGCCCCATCATTGTAACCCTTCACCGTTAGGCCCTCATTGCTTTCGTTTTGTCACCTTCGAGTGGTTGCCACCTTTGTTCGTAAGGCTTCTTTGTCACATCCAACAAAGTACTCACCTGGACTTAGGTGTACAAGCTGGCCATGAGCTTAGATGTGAGCCAACATCAATTCTTACATGTGGCTAAACGCTTCCATGAGCATGACACTAGTGCAACATTCTTTAGCATCGATAGCGATACCAATGATCCTAACACTTATTTCTCAAGGGTTTCTTGGAGAAAACTAAAGCACTAGGTCTCGTGGTCCCTCATTGGGTCTTTTAGGTCACTATCCTTGTTACTAGAGGGCCTCATGTATAGTGTGTCATTGATCGCATGGTCGCTCTATGCGAAGTAGAAGATGAATGAGAAAGAGATCAAGTGTCTGATAGAAGGAAAGAGAAGAAGTTGCAGTGGAGGACATGGGAGTTTGTGGCAATAGGAGGGGAGAAGGCGGGGGTATATGAAGGGAGCACGTGGGTGGAAGCAAAGGGGAAGCCAAGGGTAGTCTATGGACACCACAAACCATAGTGAGGAGATGGGTGACACATTTCATCTCCTCCCACGTCGCTAGTGATTACCCCATCCCGATCCCCAAAGGAGAGGTGATGGTGGAGGGTAGTCGACACCAGGAACGAAGGCTTCATAGGAACGGGGTTAGGACCTATGTGAAAGAGCCTCGTGGATGGAGGTGATAATCACGCGAAAATAATAAGACTTCACAATAAAATAAAGGTGATAAAGATTACAACAAGAGCCTCACAATGAGGCCTCGTGGTGGTGAAGGCAACGGTGAAGCAAAGTCAATGAACGATGAGACGAAGACCAAGGGTAATATCATTTTTAAAATATTAAAAATATTTTATATAAATAAAGTAAAAAAGGAAACACTTTACAAGAGAAAATAAAATTTTAAAGTTTTTTTGAAAAATTGACCGTTTGTATAATATGCAGTTTCATATACTAATTATATATATAATAAATTTAATATATACGTATGGAAAAGCCCACATATCAAAGATCAATCTTTATGTTTATCATAAAGATATGTGTTGCACATATATTTCAATTGACAGCCACGTACAACAAAAACAAACTTAAACCTTCCTCACTGTGATTCAATTATTTTTCTATTTGTAGAAAGACTAATATGAAAACACACAGTGAAGAGAAAACTGCATCACAACACATACAGAGAACACATGTTGAAGAGAGGCATTGTAAAAATAAAATGATATACCTAATCTAATATTCCAACAATGTGTCGCAGTCATTAACATCAAAATTCAACTACCCCTTTGGGTAATTCCTATAATTCCTTCAAAAAAGATAAAATAAGGAATTTTCTAGAGCCCAAAATTGCTTTCGAGGACAGCTCTATCATGTACATAGCAGACCCTCGTATATGTACATGCCAACCGAAAAGCACTACCAAAAAAGAGGCTCTTCCAACTGACATTACCTGAATTCTCTGCTTCTGGAAGCTCGTCAGGAAACCTCCGCACATGAAACTGGCTTGTGGAGCATCGATGTCCCATGGAAGACCGTTGCGTGAGCACCTTTTAGGTACTTCTCCAACTGCAGAACATGAAGTTAATGTCTTTATGCTTGTTGAAATCGCTGCATGCGAGTAAACTAGAACAATTAATGTGGATGCCAACCTGGTCTGAGCTCATCTTGGTGAAACCAAATTTCTTGGTCCAGATAGCTTCAGCTTCATCAGCCGCAGGCAGCACTAAATGTTTGACACCCAGCGATCCCAGCAATCTCTCAATGCATGCAAACAGAGATTGGAAATAACCCTACAAAAACAACAGCAGTTAATTAGCTTTGATATGAATCATCTTATGGCACTGAACCTTAATTTAGACGCGTTATGCACTAGAAACTTCAACTAGAAAACCATGAGTTCTTTCGCCTCTCCTTCACTCACACCACTAATCCTAGTTATCTAATCTCAATCAACCGTGCATCAATAGGCCTCCACTGAACATGTACAAACACTTTATTAAACCAAATTAATAGTCTTATCAGACTGGTTAAGCAATCAAAACCCTAACTAACATAATGCCACCAAAAAGATCGTCTAATATATAAACGTCTAATCAGTTCAAGGAATGAGAAGCAAACAATCTGTTGATTGATGTATATAAACTTCCACCTGCCACCAATAAACATAACATCAACTACTACTTTTGCATTGCTAATCCTGTGTAGCTCACTATCTTGCAGGAAGCTCTTCTGATTGGACACCAGCAAAATGTTTCATTTATTTCCTTGATCTTTTCTTTATACCAGCGCTAGGCGAAAGACATTTCCAATGCATGGGGCACCAACCAATGTAGTGTTTAGAGAGAGTATAACGTTCTCAATCTTAACCGGCATTCAGAGAGGCCATCTATGGCTTGAAGGCAACATGGGCGCAACTTCTTCATTTTGTCAAAGCTACCCATGCAGTACTATTCCTTCTTAAAATGTAAGAAAGAAATCAGCAGGTAACAAAAATGTGCATGTTCGTTTTCAATAACCAGAAAGTGCATTATTTTGCACTGTAGTAGAACCTTGTCATGTGATGTGCAGCACAGATTTATGACATAAATAAGATAAAAATTCCATCACCGAAACTTTTTTGAGAATTAGTTAAAATGAGCTTCTTGGATTATGCCACCCAAAAGACAGCACAATAACCCATGAAATTGTTATGGAAATGGATGAAAAAAACAAGCAACAATTAGCAAATAACAGCCCAAGACTCTCCCTAGAAAACCACATGCTAAAAGAGTACCCAAGCATACCACCATCAGACTAAAGCCAAACCTACCATGTTACTAAAGACAGCTTGCATCACTAATATAAGTTGATATAAGAACACACACCTGGCCTTGATGTTCTCTACTCGTTGCAACTAACGGAAGTTCGGCAATGTCACTTCCTAAAACACGTAAAATTCCCGCAGACACAACACATGAACTGCAATGACGAACATAGCAAGACAAAATCATAACCTTACAAATAAATTGGTAAAAAGATATTCACTTTACTAATTAACACTTACCCAACAGTTAATACTGAACAATACATTCCTCCAAAATCTTGGTCCTTCACAGTTCTCCTGTCAGAAAATAAATAGATAATTAGTACAAAAATGCAAAAGTAAAAACCAAATTAAAAAGTGTAATTAATGTCCTCAGTCCTCACCCATATACCATTGAAGGAATGAGGTCTCTTCCAGTTGTAGACTCAACAATAGGGTCAAATGACTCCTGCCGATCAACCAATAAAAAAAATAAGAACCAAGTTTTTAATTTCCATTAATGTGCAACCCATAATATTGTAGAAGGCAGACAGAACAAAAAAATAAAAATTAATCAATCGCATAATAACACGATGTCACAACCACAAAGTGAAGAACCAAAATAATAAATGATACAGACAAAATTGTGTGTGTATATGTATATATATAAAGTCAAAGATTTTTATAGTTATCCCTAAAATTTTATGTGTAGCATATATCCAATTTTCGTAAGTAGCCTTCAAAAAGTCATTATGATGCTATTATGGGTAGTTTTGGCACATAATATTTTTATATATTTCTTTAAAGAAAACAAACTGAAGTTACCCATGGTCAAAAATGGCTAATCTATCTTTTTTAGATGGATGTCAATGATAACGACATATATAATAAGCCCGATAGTCCGATACAACACAGTATGGATATGTTGATATGGCAAGATATGAAAAATATGATACAATACACCACGGACAGATCAATAAGTAAATATTTAAAACATATAATTTTTTTGTATAACAATTTGAGATATAATTATGTGTTCAATAAATAGTCGGATATAACTATTCATGACAGATAAAATGATAACTTAGATCCCTACTTTTTTCAGCACAAGATTTTACTTTCAGTAACATAGTATGCCAAGAAATAACAAAAGACTGAAAATTCATGATAAATGTAGAAAATCATTTTAATGCGTGCAAATACATAGTACTATAGTAGTGCATTTAATCATACATTGTTCTATTTAATAAATAAACAATATTCAAGTAAAAAGTTCATCAAAATATTCATGAAGTACTCTTGAAGTGTTTTCCAAGTAGAAATTCATAAGACCCACTTTTAATAAATCCGACACTTCCCCGAAATATCTGATATGTGTTCAACAATATCCAAGAAGCATCAAATCCGATACACATCAAACACCCACACGATACATATATGACAAGATATTTAAAATATACATGTTTTGTAGAAAAAACAATCTTATGATATTTAAAATATACATGTTCAAATATTTTGAATAAGACAAGCATTCTTCCAAATCCTTAATGACACCCATTTTATCTAAGACAGGTTAGAAAATTCATGTAAGCAATTGCCGGCCAGACTCCCACATTTCCAATTCGCCAATTACTTGTTATTTTCAGCACTAGACTCATTAAACAATCTAATGATTGATAATTTTAAATGTTATCTATCAGATGTTTCAGTTTTATTGACAGTAAATGTGGATAATAACAATTTACTAACAGAAAAACAAATCTTAGCAATAACATTTGTGTAAGAATTAATCATCGATAATAAAGGATCACTAACATGGAAAATAGTGACTGCTCTTGAAAGCAAAAGTTTACTGTCTGCTTCAAGAGTTCTTCCACTTAGAAGTCTCCACCTTATGTCAGCATCAACCTCTTTATTTAAGCCTCTACTATCACGTTTCTTCTTTATAATGTTAGCATCTGTAAAAGGAAGCAACTCTGCTCCATGATGAAGAAACACCTGCAATGCTCTTCGAATCCTGCTGCAGTCAGTGCAACAGAACCACTCCCCTGCAGGTAGTTCCTGAAAATGAAGAAACAGTCAAGTCCAAACAAATCCTTTATGTCCATATAGGACAAACATACCAACAAGCAACAGGCAAGTAACTAAGTTTTTTTTTTGCTCATCTGTAACAACTGCCTTAGTTCAAAATTTTGTGTACCTCAACATTGGTGCACCACTGTCACAAAATCTTATATAAATTTAACAACTTAATAAAGAGAAATATCTCTTTAAGAGAAGAAAGAATACACGTTTTTCTGTACCTTTAAATCAGCCATTTTATGATCCCTCAAGCATCCAACATGGTATTCTCTCTCACACTGAAAGTGAAAGAACTCAGAGTTATCACAAAATGACAGTACAAATCCCATAAAATGTGAAACTAATTTTATAAAATATTTGAAACATACTTGATCACAAATCATGACAGTGCGGTCATCAAATCTTGATTTACTAAAATCATGGCACCTGCATACATTTTAAATAATCAGGAAAGAAATTAATAAAGAAACTAGTGTTCCAAAATGCAAACTGAATCTCTATAACCCACTAAGTATAAATTCATTGAATAGATATAAGCACCTTAATGTATCAAAAACGCATGAGAAACAATCAAAGACAATCAGAAAGGTAAATCTGGTTCGAAATAGAGGTTTTCCATAAAACAAAACCCACAAAATTCATTCAAACTACTTTCCACCCAAAAGATTTTGAAGAAAATTGGAAAATCTAATAATTCAGCAGCCATAGATACATGGTCTTAATGTGGATTCGAGAACCTCAATACTAGATGAGCACTACTTTACAAAGCAGATAGATAGGTCATGAAGAGTTAACTAACCTATTAGGGCAAAATGTTTATAATTGTATTACAGGTCTGTAAAGATATCAAACATGAGTTTGAAGTTCTAACCTGCACAATGTACATGCACTATCATCAGTCTCTGATGTCGTGACAATACGGATACACCTTTTAAATATCTGCTCGATGGGATCCACTCCAGCAACTCTCCCTGCTGCAATTGCGTTATCATTACTTGACAGGCACTTTTCTCTTTGATGGAGATTTTGACAATATTGACAGCACCAATCTCCACTCGGGATGCTTGACAAACCCAAACATTCTGCAATAATTGTAAGAAGATGCCATTAACACTCAAAACAGATTAACCATCAAGTTGTTGTATAAGCAAGAAAAAATAATCATGAAATCAGTAATCATAATTTTATGATTAACAATAACATTAAAACATTAACAATAATATCAAGTCCATCACAGCATGACATGATGGATCAATCTTAGCATGACATGAGGCTAAAAGCATAAAGTCCATCATAGACAAGCTGCCAGGCTCAAAGACAACATGGATCCAAGTACACACGCATGTGCGCACATCTAAATGTGTTGACTAGTTAACCAAGGCAGTTTGCCAAAATAATCTTGCTAGTGTAAAATACCCCTCTGAAGTTTAATTAATTTCCAAAAGGCAACTTTTTTTTGCATGCAAGAAAAATACCTTTGTGGAATGCCCTGGGGCAGAGATCACAAAGAAGTAGGTCTCCACCATCTGCACAGATGCTGCAAAGATCATCGCTTTCACTGGAAGACATTTTTCGGCATTTTGATAGTGAAACCGATAATTCGTGAAGAGATACTCCATTGGAAGTATAAATGTAGTTGTAACTGGACAACCATAGCAAAATGAAAATAGATAAGTAAGAATTTTTAATGGATCAATTCAGATAAAGAGGCTGCAACCTTGTAATCATAAACTTACGGTTTGCGCCTTGATGCTTGACCAGCATGAGCTTCAAATTGTGAAGGACTAACCTGTCATTTAATGTTCCTATTGTTAAAATCTGGAGTAAACAGATCACAAGTAAAACAAACATGTGCAGGCCAACACTTTACCACAGAATTGCAGCATTGACAGTATATTCCAGAATCTTTTATATAACCCTCAAGTAGCCTCTAGTCATCATAAAAAAACTTGTTAAAAAAGGCCATGGCAGATATAAATGGGATAAATTAAATAAGAATAAATCAACCATCACATTGCACACCTTTCCGCAAACATAGTAGCCTACTTCGGTACCCTCAGGCAAAATGTCATTCATAAAGACCAACTTGTGCAAGCCCAAATCTCTTGAAGGAAAAAAGAAATAGGTGAATAAGAGTGATTGTGAGTAAATTAATACATACATATTCAATAGAAGAGTTTAAAACTACCAACTTTCTAGTTAATCTTCCCAGGCTATTTTTCTTATTGGATGATAGGTTCTTGGATGAGCTACTTGTTGGATCTGCTACAGAACCTGTCTTCAATACCCTGAAGCTGCACATTTGTATTAAGGTATATTTTGAGTTCAGAAATTGTGTGAATAATTAAAAGAATACAATTTGACAAGATAAGTAGCATTGCATGAGATCAAGTATGCAAATTGTAAAGGAATGATCATAGTTAAAAGAAAATTCAAACAAGATGGACATTTCAAACAATATAACCTACAGGATTCAGTCTAAAAACAAGTAATGCAAACAATGAAAACCAGAGGACACTAACTCAATGATTAATTCATTTAACATCAACTGATATCAATTGGTTAGGTAAAGTACATTCTGTCTCAAAGAAAAGAATGGATCTTGATTCAACGTAAAGGTTGCTTCTTTGCAATCTGTGTGACCAGAAATCAAGCCATGAATACAGCTTCTCTAAATATAAGGGTAAGGCTGCATTCACCTCGTGCACAGAGTCCACTATTTTTATGTTTTGTCTCAAAGAAAACCCAAGAATAACTGAATCAAACAAAACTCTCACAATTTCTCACCAGAACTTCTGCCGATTGATGATAACTCTTAGTCTCTTAGGAACTGTCTTGCCATTGCTTAATCCTTTAATTATGTACAATGTGAACCATGCCTTGCATGGGTTTCCATTTGGTATTTCACTAGAGATGTCCTAGTACTTGACATCAGAAAGACTGTATAACAATATGCCACCTATTTTCTTTAAAAAATTAGAAATTGTCTCCAACGATTCCCATATAATACAATCTAAATTCATCTAATCTAAGCAATGATAGCATGATTACCTGAAAAGATTCAATTGGAAACAAAGTATATAGATGCCTCATATTTCCTTTAATTCAGAAACAAACTTACACAAATAAAGACAGGATACCAAATAATTTCAAGAGGCAAACCTTGTAGAGTTAAAATTTCCATGCATCAGGTTTGGAGTTTTTGGAGATTGCTGTGATGGAAAACACAAATCACACAACCCAAACTTCCCAGACCATGGAGTAAGCAATGACCCTGCAGATGTCAAAATATGAATAAACATCTAACAAACCAAAATGTGACAACTGATGAGGAAGTTCAAAAAAAGTCGAACACCTTTGCATTTTTGACAAGTAACAGTTTTGTTTGCAGGTACTGGATCAATTGCACTCTGAATTGTAGCTTCCAACATGTCTAAAGGGGCAATGGAGCATGCTTTAACTACATCATGGAGGCTTTTCCCATTTGGCAAGTAAATAAAATCCGCTGGATGCTTCTTTGTGCTACCAGCATGTTGTTCAAACACATATGCTGAAACAACCTTGATTTGAGAAAAAAGATAAAGGAAAACAATTAATCCTGTTAAACAATATATGGTACCTTGAACAATAGTGAAAAATGATCAAGTGAAGTACTAACAATGGAACCATTGCAAGAAGCACATGAGCATAAAATGCCATTGCCGTTGATCACACCTTGAAGCCCAATATGCTGTAACAACAATGTAACAAACATAGTTCCTTGTCAAAATTTTAAGGCCATGATGATAATATAAAAAAAGAAAATAATCATGTAAAGCAGAGTTCATCATTGTCATAACTCCACCTTGAGTCCTACAATAGAAGTGCAAGTACACCGAAAGCAAAAGACAGAAGGTAACAAGAATTCCCAAATTGAAAAAGACAACAAACAAGAACTCAACATACTCCAACTCATGCAAATTTTCCACTGAAAAAGCACCAATATCAAGTCATCAAAAGACTAACCCACTAATATATCAAACCTGCCACTTACGTTGCTATTGGAGGCAATGTAATTAACAGGCAACCCCTCAAGCAATCCAGTTGAAAGTAATTCCCTCACATTATTCGGAAGCTTTGTTAATGTGATTTTCTTTGACATCTTCAATTCCAATTTGCTCTTTGGGATCAAAACTGAAGAAGAATCAACAGTATCTACCCCATGATTAGTGTCTTCTGATCCTGATGAATAACTGCTTGTGCTGGTGATGTCCCCTGAACTAGACTCCAATTTTGCTTTAACAGCTGACCTTGTAAGCCTCCTCAGGGGCATCCCAAAGTGACTATTGTTATCCTTGTTACTGTAATGACCATTCATAGTAACAGGAGGATTCACAGGCGGCTCTTTTTGCTCTTTAGCAGGCACGGTCAGTGTGGATCTTGTAAACCTCCTATTGCACGTCCTGTTTGATGAGTCACTCTCCATATTTCTTCCATCTAGACAATGAATTACTGCTGACATTTCTACTGGAGAATCCCCCTCACCCGTTTTCATTATAGAAAAAGGCATCATGATTTCCGGTTCCTCTGAAGCATACTCAGTCGCTGACACAATCTTCTTATTTGCCTGGTTCTCTGTTTCTGAACTATCCGCCTCCAATCCACCATTACCATCAATTACAACTGGGTTTTCGACACAACCAGTCTCATTCAGATCAACGTTCAATTTGCTCATGCCATTGTCATCGACCACGATTTGGCCACCAATTTCGGACTCTGCGAATTTATCCACATGCGCAGGAGAGTTTGCCGTCTCATTAGCCTTGCCCGTCAACTCTGCAGGCTCAACCGGCTGAGAATGAGAATTCACCGTGCCTTCAGCGATTCCATCTGATAAAGTTGTCACGAACACCTTTAGGGGTTTCACCGTAGGAGGAGGGCCATCCACCACGAATTGATTTCGTCCATCCATCACCATGAGGGTTTCCACCGAAGACCCGTTTTCTAAGGGAACAACATCCACCATGACTTCATCCTTACCATCCACAACGGCGAGGGCATCCGCCTCTACGAGATCAGAAGGGGAAGGAGCAAGAATCATCAGCGGAACATTGACAAGCTGCGGTTCAGCGGTCTCCGGCGTCATATCTGTCCCAGATTTCTTCCGCCGCTTGCTCTCATTGACAAGTGGTGCGCTAACGGTGGCGGCGGACGATTTTCCGGAGCGGGTCCGACCGAGAGAGAGAGGAAACTGAGACTGGGCCTTGAGGGCGAAGACGAACTCCCGCTTGAGGCCCGTCCGGACGCCGCAGCGGAACGCGGAGTTCTCGAGTTCGGAGGACCCGCGGCCGTTAGCCATCGGACCGGACGGAGGGGAGGCAAGCGGTTCGCGTGCCACCGGCAGCGTTAGCGACGACGGAGAAGGCCCCGAGGAACTCGAAAGGATTGGGAATTAGGGTTTGCGGAGACCGGAGAATTCCGGAAGGGGTAGAACGGTTTGTATATTGGAGGGGAAGACAAGTCGGGAACGGAAAAGGAAAGAGAGCGAAGGAGAAAGAGAACGGAGATGGGAGTTCAAACGGAAATGGACTGGTTCGAAATTACGGGGATGTTGCCGCGATTCACAGGCCCGCTATATGACTAATTTACCCCTACCTTTGACGGGGTCAGCAAAGTGGGAACGATGGTGATCTGTGCAATAATCGGACCGGTTCGGCCCGAACCTTTGTGATGCGGTCCAAAATTTAAGCTCAATCATTATTGATTCGGTCGAACCAGAATGTCCAATTGAAGCAATTGATAAATTTCTTCTCCTATTTTCACTGTACGGTCAGAAATTATTCTTTACCTCATGCCACCCATCCTTCCTCGGCCGGCGATTGGAATACGGTTCGATTATTATTTATTTGCTGGAACATCTATGGGCATTTCGGGGATTCCATATGAATAAAGGCAGGTGTCCGCTCTGTGGATGGCCTTTTCCGGAGGGTATCGTTAAATAGCATCCCGGAATCTTCATTCCAAACAGGGCGGGGCGCGGGCACAACCACGATATTTTCTTACCCACTCCTCGCCTACCCGAGACCCACCTGCCTCGTTACGAGACAGAGACGCGGGCTTCACCCGTGGGTCCCATTTCGTCACCCGGCTATCAACTCGTTGATTGTGGTCGGCGCTATTGGATCGGACCGGCCCGGTTCGGGTCCTTGAATTAAGATTTGAATACAACTGCCGCTGCTCCCAGTTTTCTATCGAGGAAAAACCAAAAGCACAAAAGATCCATCGGAGTCCTGTCCGGTTCGGTTCGGTTCGGTTTGGTTCGATATACAGATTAAGAAAAAAATTTATTATTATTTGTAATTGTCTTACAAAATCCAATAATATAAAGAGCACTTGGATCGCCCATTCAGGCTTGGAAATCATGGCACTTAAATAGAATGATCCTCCAATCTAGAGGATCTTGCATTGGTGATTGTTACTGGTAAGTAATGCAAGGTATAATGTGTATGTATATTTATTCAAGCTTTTACATACATATATTATTTCAAAGTTAGGAAATAGCAGATTTACACCTTCAAATTTTAAATTAACATATTAATATAATCCTTCAAATACTTAGATCTTGCAGATATATATATATATATATATATATATATATATATATA